TGCATGTGCTGTGTAGTCTGTTGTAGACTCGATCTCGTAGCTCATCAAGGTAGATAGCAGGCTCTCCCTCAATAACTGATCGCACGAAGTTCAATCCTGCATGTCCAGAGTGCGCGGCCGGCCTCGAGGTCTAGCATTCGGGTTGATGACTGTGCCGTATTCCGTGTAGAGTCGGAGAACTTCGAAGACTGTGCTTATGCTGCATCCCGCAAGCTCAGAAATCACTCAGAGTGTCTTGTTTTGCTCATGGCGCCAGACAATGATACGTTCACGTAGTTGTCGAGTGAGGTGAACCATGGTACCAGCCAGTCGATACTTCAAGTTCGAGACGTCGATGAATGCTATCTGACAGTCACGCAGTCACAAGAAGCCATCTCGCATTACTGCATATGGGTATATTTGGCTCGAACAAACAATGCTCACGGAAACCCGATTTTCGGTTTCATATGCAAACGACTGTATTACAGTGGGAGTCGGCAACGCCTGCCAAATTCGAACTCCGCCGCGCGCGTCACGCTTCAGCCACACGAGCGAAATGCTGGTTACAGCTTGTGGTGCACTTTTCGGGACGAGGAGACATTCTAAAATAGCGAACAAATCTTTGGATATTCTTTGACGTTATATAGAATCCATCCTTCCAGTTCGATTTTTGATACACTGCCTTGTAAGTGCTATAAGACCAAGTTCAGAGGGCTGAGGTGATAGGTTAACCAGGAGAGGGACACAAATCGAGAATTTAAACTGGAAGGATGGAGTCATACACATTTAAAAGAATATATTCCGATTTTTATTCTAATTAAAGTGTGATCCTGAGCGAGAAAAGTGCACCACACGCAACACACACCAGATAGCCATAGTCGGCATTTGCCGAGACGCGTCCATTGACGCGTTTTCGACGCGTTTTGATAGAACACGTCCCTTCTGGAAGCACCGGCAAATGGAGATCAAGGCAGGGATAGCTAAGGACAAGAGGCTGGTCCCCATCAAGTCAAAAGTAACCAAGAAGGCGGACAAGATTAATGCTCTAATCAAAACATTTAAGAGGTATTCGAAGGCTATCCTTTTAATTTTATGGCAGCTTCCACAGATAATACAGACCCAGGGTATGAGGACTCAGGGGAAGAAGAATACTAATTCATGATTACCATATTGCGCTTTTTAGCTGTTTAATAATTCTCTTTACTGCATATATGACATCAATACTACTGTAGATATTATAACAGCTGTATAAAGTATCAAAGTATCTCTTTATCGTGCAGGAATAGATCATTCAGTCCGAGGCTGGCAGAGGAGAACGGCCTATGGCGCGAAATGATGGGCGTGTGACAATCACGGTCACACGGACATTTGGCTGGCAGGCGTTGCCGACTCTCACTTTTATGCAAAGCACTGTACATAATGTCTCTCCTCTGAGTTTAACTTTAAGCTGACCCACAAACGAAGTCTCACAGAAAATGGTAGTCTCGTACTTCTGGTGCCATCTAACAAGTATTCGCTGCTCGTCGAAGAATGCGCATGGGCACGTGGAATCCTTCCCGGATCGTCGCGCTCCCGTTGATGCCGCGACGAACTCTGGGAAGTGCGGTACGGCAGGCGTCAAACATGGTACTTCACAGATTACTGGTTAGCGCGCAGGTTCGCGAGCGGGTACTTGCAAAGTGCTCGGTGGCGAATATCAGGTGGGTTTATACTGTCCATCTCCCAACGCGCCTTCCTAGCTTTCGTAGCGACGATGAATACTTCTTGTATCGATTATACATCTATGGACGAGGGATCTGCGCCCTACGGGCTGCATCGATGCTCTCGAGTGACATAGTCTCGCGAGGAGACTGAATCTTCTCTCTGAACCCCACTTCCCTCAGCGACGAGTTCTGCCTTTCTCAGAATATCCGCCACTCACTGGGATCTATTAGGTGCAACTGCAGCGCCATTCCAAGCGACAAGGAGAACATGTTGGCCGCAAGCTGGTCGTCATCTTCCGTCACATATTAGGTCTTTGCGCATCGCAATCATAGTAAAACCCCACTTATGTGCGGCTGTTGGACGTGGCGGCTAAAGCCAGATTGACTCGAATACCAGTACCGAGCTGCACCGCGATCGAGGAACCTCGACCGTAACGCTCGCCACTCCGTCCTGTCTTCATCTTGTCAGTCGCTTATCTACCGCGTGCGTTGGGCTCGGAATACCATGGATCAGCTCCGCAGTTTTACAGTCTACGCAGGCCTTGTTTTTTGTTTGTTGCAGTTCACACTGCTAGAACGGTGCCAGCCCAGTTCAAAGGCCACCTCAGTGCTGCTTGCCTTATACACGTTTGCCATCTCAACTAATAGAGCGTTTCAGAACTCCACACCTGATCATGAGGACCACATCGTAAGTATTGCGCATTTGGACAATAGAATTTATCGGAGAATCATCTGCTTGAATTCAAGTTCAAATGCACATTGTCGACAAACATCAAAGACTCTCAGACCCTGATCATGAATGCCAATGGCAGAGCGCAGGTGGGAGCGGAAATGGGACAACTTCGGCAGGTGATCACGGAAAGACGAAGAAAGACGAAGAAAGACATTTGCCATTCGCGGACGAGCGCTTGCCACAATGAGGCTGTTCTCGGGCTGTTCTCTACCAGTGATCCGAAGGAATCGAGAGCGCTAATTATGCTCCATGTCGCGATGACGGTGGCGGTTGGTATACGACTACATAAGCGCGGACGGGACGAGCTAGCTGAGCTATGCTTTTGTGAACCATGGCTGCCCAAGGCGAGTATATGCGACAAAGTCGGCGCGTCGATACGGTCAACTCACGCATATATCGAGCAGTCTTCAGTCCGACCACCTCTCGACGCGAGACGGGTGTCGCATCCGCATCAGAGTCAGACTCATACGACAAGAGAGCGCTACGAGTTTCCTTCGAGGACGCACCTCAGTATTATGAAGGTCAGCATTACGAAGGAGAGCTGTATCCTCGTCAAGCGAACGAGCAACCTTCTCGCAAACGTACGTTATGCAGTATCATGACCCTTAGTGAACGCCCGAGTGAAGGCATATATAGGCACGCAGGAGGACCAGGACAAAGCAGATGAAGAAGCAAGGAAGAAAGCGATGAAAGACTTGGTTCAATCGTGGATGGACAGGCTGCAGTTGATCAGCGTGATCGTACGTCATTTACTGCCGGCTGTCGGTTTCATGCCAATCCCCACTCGTTCATGTCGTGCTCAGACAACCTTCTTCGCATCCGTGGAGTCTCAATTGCTAGGCAACACGACGCCCGACGATGGGCAAGGCACTCGTACGGACCAAGCCGCCAACGCGGGCTTGATGGGTGCCCTTGTCATGCACAGCTTCGCTGGTACGTCCAAGCTGCACATCAGGCCTTGCAGTCTCAGGTATGCGGACCTGATGCGCCTTTCCCAGCGATACTATCTTTCCTAGGCGCCTTCATCCTCGTGCGCTACAAAGTGAAAGAAGCCAAAAAAGAAGAGATCAAAGCTGAAGGCGGTGCACCAACCACGACAACTTTCTCTCCCGTCGATCTCGAAAAGGCCGACGAGTCCAACCCTAAAGTGCCGCAATCCCAGTCTCCAGCCCTTGCGCAGACGCCCCCGATTCCCGCAATATTCTCCAGGGATCCAAGGCTAGTGCAAGTGGGGCCCTTCTCGAGGCAACCGCCTATCAAGCTGCTCGCGCGCGTGCACTCGTTGTGCCTGTGGACGTCCGCGGTAGGGTTCATCCTCGCGCTCATGGGCATTCTGTGTTTCTCGTGGTCCCAGATGCCGCGGAGTGTCAGTATATTCGCGTCCGCGTGTCTGGGCATATGTGTGATCGGCAGCGTCTTTACTATCGGATGATTTGCCCTGACGTGGTTTGATTGAGATTAACGACCCATGACGACTCTTACGGTTCTGCTTATTGTATATTGCGCAATTGGACACTCCATGTATAGCTATCGTACCCTCGGATACATATACCCACCTAATCAGTGTTGGAAATAATATACATAGTACTTCCACGGTGCATTCTACATACCACAAGACATAAAACCCGACCGCATTCCTCCTTTCACTGTGCCAATGTCCTCCCTGCCGGCCTGTTGTGTACTTTCCGCTGCCTCGGAGGATCGAACCTATGAAATCCGAACTCTACAGACTGAATCCACGGGCAGTGGCACCAAATTTGTTCAAGCAGCCTGTCCTTTCCGCGCTCCTCGCACCGCCCACCGCATGTCAACACGAGACACTGCACCTGCACCTTCGGGCACCAAGGCAGCCAGGACCCCAAAGGATACTGAAATTGTACGTTTTAGTTAAAGGGAATGGACTGCGTGAGGGGGAATGGTAACATACGTGAGCCGAGACACCGAATGCAAGGTCGCGGTACAACTCAATCTTCAACGCACTGACACATTCGGCCGGAGCGTCGCCGACGCTAACAGCTTCTCTGAATCTCTGGTCGTTAATCGGCACGTCGCGAGCGGGCTCTTGCACCCTCGTCGCCCCGAACGACTGATCGAAATCCTTCAAATACAGTGACAGCTGCACAGGCCTGTCCACCTTTCGCGTAGCGAGGGTCTTCATACATGACGCAAGCCAGTGCATATCCGCCGCGCCCCGCTGGTTGTGCGACACGATGGTCAGCTCCTCCAGCTTTGGTAAGCCCATGTCGCCCAAAGGGAAGCGAGATATCCAAATTGCTTCTCCATGCAAGCGGCGCAGCTTGGTGAGCGCGTCCGGCGGCAGGGTGAATTTCTCCGGGTCCAGAGGATATGTATGGACAACAAGCCAAGTGAGAGATGGGTGCCGAGTGAGGAACTCCGCTAGATCTCCTGATTCAAGTGTGTCGATATCCAGCTCGAGGCGATCCAGATAGGGTAGTTGGAGATTGCAGAAAAACCGCCGCCATACCCTGGAAGATAGCCCATTGCAGCATATCTTCAGCCACCGCACCGGACTGGCGTTTAGAGACTCTATTGCCCAGTGGCGGAAGTATGACATGCCCAGGACCGGGAGGCTGATCTGAACCCTGTCGAGAGCGTTAAGGACGTAAAGTGGCTCGTCGGTTTTGAAGTAGAGAAGATCACGCGGAACGGATGCCTCGCCATCGCGCGGCTTCAGGCTGATGCGGCGGCAGCCCTTATTGACGAGGCCTCTCAGCAGAGCTATCAACGAACTGGCAGCACGCGTATCTAGATCGGCTGTGGCTCCGGGTTGGTCTTTGAAGGACATCCACCAAGTGACGCGTTCCACGAACAGCAGGCCCTTCGTTAGCTCGGCCAGTTGGTCCATCTTCCAGTAATCGGTGGGGCCAAAGGTAGTGTGGATCCACCCGAGAGCAAGGACCATCGGTGAATATTTGATGACATCGATAGCGCGGTATTCTTCGTCATAGTAGAAAGACAGCTGGAGTGGACTCTGGACATTTTGATGCGTAATTTGGCAGCATTCAAAGACGTGGCCAGATACTATCATATAGTACGGGAATGCTTCATTATGGAGCCTCTGGCAGACCACGGCGAGGCTCTGCAGTGTCTCGACGTCGCATAGTCTGATGATCGCAGCAAGGATTTCTTTGGACACGTCGAGCAGCCCAATGCGTTGTTGTATTGACTGAGTAGTCGCAGTCGCTACTTCATCCGTTTCTCGAAGCCTGGAAGATAGAGCGTGTCGTCATGCCACACACCACACCCGTCTCGTAAGGGGAAATCGTACCTCTTCACACGCCGTTCCACAAACTCTAGCTGCATCTCCGCGTCCATATCAACATCTAGGTCCATAGCTTAGACCAGTGATTGAACAAGGGGCGACCTTTGAGTACAATGGAGAGAGCCGTTGACGATGGAGTTGGTGGAAGCTACCCTGGGAATTACTCTCAACAGTGTGGCTCTTATACGCGTTCCATCGCGCTTGCCACAAGAAGCACGTGCCGGACATGGCCGGGAATCGTCTAACCTCATCAACCCGGCTTTCCAGCGCCTACGACTTATCCATGAGGTTTTCTGCGCAGACAATTCGCTCTTGCTCCTGCACAATATTACTCGGGTAAGGTGAGACAAAGAAAAAGTGAGAGTTTCTCGGGCATTCCCACTATCTGGCTCTGTGATATGTAACTTGGTTGGGCCAAAGCCCCCAAGATAGAGGATATCACGTACAATCAGTCGCCACTGCAACAAGCAGAACCCCTCACATGGGAAAGCCTGATAGAAGACGACAAAGCCAAATTTTGGATACCTTGGACTTGGAGGCAGGTATGTACCTGTGGATGTCAGTCTTGATCCAACTCCACTGGCAGAATTCACTATAACTACGTTCTTCGCATGCGACGGAACGAGGCACGCAAGTCGTCGTTTGAGGGAGTTGAGCTCCGCTCCGGGAGATTTACAGCTGAATTGTTCTCTCGTAAATGCTAGTGAAAGCGTCAACATTGGTAGGCATGACGACAGATATCGCTTCAAGTAGCAGAAAGAGAGTCTTTGCACTGGCCCCAGAACGAAGCATTGTGATTGGTTCAGAAGAAATTCCGGCGTCGTGTTGGAAAATATGTCACGTGAGGACCAACAATCATCGTGGCGCTTCAAGAGTTACAATCGACACAGCTTCAGGACTGTCATATCTCTTTCTCGTTTTTATATATCGGTGAGACGGACCGTTCCACCTTAGGGACGCACAGCTTCATTGATAGTCTGACTATTTATGCAGACCAAGTCGAGCTGGCCTCTTGTCGACTCCCATCTGTCCTGCGCCGCTCTTTACGTGGGACACCTGCCCTATGTCTGCCGATCTGCAGGCTTTGCCAAATCCGTTCGCTACTCTGTTGAATGGTATAGAGAACAATCCAAGAGCCATCCGAGATCTGTGCGACCATCATCGGGTCACACGCCAAGCAGCTTCAACAGCAGCTCTGCTGTCCTCAGACAACATCGTTGTTGACCCCATTCTCGTGAATGTTGTTAAAGAGGGGGAGTCATCCGACCCACGCAATTCCCTGGTGGTATGGACTCGGCCGTCGCAGGCCGTCAAACAACTCGTCCGAGATGTCCAGAGAGCACTCCGTGCCATTGAGCCCGCAATATGGCTCATGCCCGAAGCCGATCTGCATATGACGACTATGGAATGGTTCCACAGCGTAGACACTGAGACAGCTCACGGGATAACCGACAAGATACCCCTGGACGTTGTGCAATCTATTACCACCGGTCCCAAGACGCCCGTCCTACTCGATACCCCCGTCTTATCCTTCGACCAGCACGCCCTCGCGATCACGTTCCTACCGTCTTTGCAAACCCACGATGTATACACGTATCTTCACTACCGCCGTGACCTGGTTGACACAGCGGCGTCTGTGCACGATCCCGACCTTGCCATTAAGATGCGGTATGCAGCGCCTTCTGCGCACGTCACGATCGCGAGGTTCAAGGAGCCGCTTGCCCGAAACAATACCACGCGAAGTTGGGTAGAAGCACTAGAGAGGATAGACAGAGACATTGTACGCCCAAGGCAGGACTTGGTTTGGAAGATCGAGGGCCCTGCGATAATGCGCGCTGGTACGGTGTGGTATGGGGGAGGCTGGACGTTGAAGGGAAGCTTGAGGCAGAACTAGCGATGTCGATTGATATTTTATTTAAGGCTTCACGCCAAGGTGGACACATCCAGAGGAGAAGAAGTGAGTTGGATCCGGTTGTTCAGACGACATACATTATGAGAAGCAATTTACAGAGTTGGCGAAGTATGGATGATACTGGGAAGAACAAATGCTTGAATGACGACACTTCTAAAATGTATTCGTATGGGCGGACTTCACACGGTGAAACAAACCTTGCCGTCCAATCCAGGATAATCATCTACAATTCGTTCACCTATGTCATATAGACTATCCTCGGTATACCACTCTTCATAATCGTCGATGAGAAAGTTAACACTTTTCAAGGATGGAAAACACTGTAACGCTGCGACAGCCTTGGGATTCTCACATTAGTTCTTCAGCCATTCCCAAAAACGAACCAGGACCTACCTTCTCCTCGTTCAGCTTACTACAGCGTGTCTCTAACAATAGGCTACGCACATGCGCTAGGCCCTTGAAGGAAGGGTTGAGCGCCAACTCATTGCATGTGGCAATCCATCGTTCGAGAAAAAGATCCCTCGTAAACGTGGATCTCGAAAATCCGAGATGCATGTCATTTGGCGACGGACGTTTAGACAAGCGTCGTAGAATAGCCTCGAGGGTTCTGGGTGTGGCTGCTTCACACTGGACAATCTCCAAGCTTGTAAGCGACGGCAACGAGCTTCGGCCCTGAAGGAAGGCCAGTGCCAGCGACGGAGTGCAGGTTAAAGAACGAAGCCGTGGCAGAGCGCGACAATCTAGTATGGCAAAAGCTGGTTTTGGCTCCTGGGTTACCGACAGTTCCGTCAGACAATTGTGGCGCTTCAGGAAACGGGTCAGACACGGAGCTGGGAGGTTGCAGACCGACAGCTCCAGCTTCTGCAGATGCTTGAGGCGCAGGAATTCGAAGACGACTCCCCAGCTCCCCGCTTCCGTGGTCCAATCTTCAATGCGGAGGTACTGGAGGGGACTCAAGTTCATTGTCTGGACCGTCCAGCTCCGGAAGTCTCGGGCGAAGAGCAGGGGGATGGACAGGGTGAGCGACGTGAGGGTAGTCAGCGGTCGTAAAGCTTTAATGGCCGCCTCTAGTTTGGGCGCGGATGCATACAGCGTTTGCTCCGGTATCCAGCACTGCCGCTCCTCCAAGGACAGGGATTGGCAATGCGTGCTCTCCAGGGACTTTATGAGTGGTATAATCTGCCAAGATATGGCCCGCCCGAGGGGATCGGAGAGTGATACCCATTCATTCACGGACATACTGATCTTGACGGTCTGGATAGTTTGCGAGTATTTCATGCAACGGCAAATAGTGGATAACAAGTGGCTTTCTGTTCCCTTAATCTTGCAGTCGAAGAGGTCCAGCGTGGTGACAAGATATGTCCAGGCCAATGCGTCAAGTGCTCTCAATCGAGGGTAATCATGCATAACGATTTCTTTAGGAAGGTCGCGGCCGATCCTGTCCAGTACTGTGGCTCGAATCAAGAGAATGCGGAGGGCGTGCTCGTGGAGGAGACGGCATACTCCCATCAGCTGGGACAAGCCGTAGTCGCTGAGCATATGTAGTATGACAAGCGTAATCTCGTTCGGCAGGCCAAAACCGATTCGTTTGCGCGTCATTCTAAACGAAACGGGTAAGTTCTGGAAGACGTTCTGCAAAACTGTGGCGAAGAGTCACTATCTGCATGCGCAATATTTTCCAGACTTACTAGAACTGTGTGTCGAGCTGTTAGGAGAAAAGAAATAGAGATCTCAAGCAGGCGCGACGAGCGCTGGTTCAAGAGGATGTAGTGTGTTCGTGTGGTTGAAGCGGCAATTGGGCAGTAAATCAACATGACAAACGAGCCCAAACAACCGGGTGGCAAATGCCAAGTGGCCCACTCGTTGCCGCAACACGAGTTCAAGTTCCAGGCTGCACGAACTTATAGTGACTTACCAGCTTATGGTCTGCTACTTGCATGGTTATTCAATGGAGTAGTCTCTACGGCATCCGTGGATATCGGTGTCAATTTGTTCGGATTTTATCGTCGAAACAGGGTAGTCAGCCCTTTGGGATGATGTCCGCGACTATCTTCATGTTGATAGAGGTGCCTACAGGTTTCGAATGTGGGACAGTAAGTCCTAATCATCGGATGAGGACCGTACGAGACTGACCTTGATAAGTAGGACTCGTATGATAACGAGTCACTCGATTGAACAGCTCATGTCCTATCGATGCTTAGAACGCCACAAGAATATGCACATGGGGCAATAAATGATAGGAACGATGCATGGTAGGTATATCAGTTTATTATGCAATGGACAATGAGCTTCCCCTAGTCGAACCGGACATAAGAAGACGGTCTTGAGAAGGAAACTTCGCTCATACAGAGCGTAGTGTCCCCGCCATGACAGTACGGCAGTGGAAAACGCAAGAATCAAACACCTTCGACTATGCTGGGAGCTGAAGCTGATTGCCACGAAGATTGACGCCCGGTTGAGGCGAGCTTCCACGGTCTCGTATGGGGGCGGTGAGTCCAAGCATGTGCACAGTACGTTCAGCGTCCATTATGCGTCTGAAAATACCAACACGATTAGCAACTACTAGTAAAAGAATAAAAGCAGGAGCTTTGAGCCTTGACCTCTCACCTGCATTTCGTCCCCCTCAAGTCCTCCTTTGCGTCCACTGTCGGCCACTGCAGTTGTCCTCGTGGCTCTGGCGCGTTCCCTGCAGGGAAGGAAATTACCAAGTTAGTGCGCAAAGTCACGGGACTCGCGCAACATGAGTACCCTCGCAGTCATGCTGATGTCCGGTACGGTCCCCTTAGCCGAAGTATATAGCGGGGAGTCACTTCACCAGGGTCCCCTTCGCTGGCGCTCTCGTCTGAAGGGCCCATTCAAGGTCGGATATCGTCTAAAGGCCTGCTATGTCGACTGAGGCTCGCTCTCTGGTCGCCCTCGCTTGGACCGCGCCCCTAGCACGGAGTCATCCTGTCGCAGTACACCAATTGCAATTTTAGTACACGTGGGACGAGATCAGGTAGCGCCGTTCCATACCTGTCTTGGCTATACCATGCGGCGACATGCGATCCCTCCGGATCGATGGGGCCTAGGATTGGCCAACGGCACCGAGTCCCCCAATTCCAAGGCTAGCACTGGGAGAGCGGTCCACTGCTTCGGGTCCGGGTACGTGTGTCCAGCAGTTGCACCGAGGGCGACGAACACGTCCCCGACTATCACAGCTTCACGCTGGGAATCACCGGGAGATTGTAACCGTGGCGGAGAGTGAGGGAACGATCACTGAGGAAGGAGATACCGTATCCACAGGGAGCTAGACTCGAGAGGGGCTAGAAGTATGACAATTACAGCGCATTCATGGCGCGCAGCCCGGGAGATTTCCGCAGTGAGGCGGGGAACTCTGGCTGGGATTCGGTGATACGTCGTATCAGTTAGGTATGTAGCTTTCAGTTAGAGAACGCTACCTTGATTGACGTGCCTTCAGTTATGAGATGTAGTAGGATATGGAATGAATATAAACTGTTCGCCACTTGAGCGAACTTGGGAATGTCTAGTTGTGTGCCTGGGATGACTGCGTGCGAGGGAGCGGATTCAATTGAATCCCCGGAAAAATCATTCACAGCTGCGAGATGGTTCAGAGAAAGTACCATTGTTCTCTGACTTGTGTCAAACGTGGCACGGTCGCAGGCTCCTAGCATCGTGTAGGTCGCTGCAAGTGGCGTCGGCCAACTTGGTTCCTTCTTCAACTCGGATCTATCCATTGGCTAGGCTGTTTCGACAACCCACACTGCCGAATTTTGACATAACCCCTATTTCTGGGCGTATAAAAAGGGCTCGTCAGGCCGTATCTTTTCTTCCGACAACCAGTCTACTCACTCATCTATCCAACCAACTCTCTACCACCACCACCACCACCTCTCCTCAACGCAACAATGGCCTGCTCCTGCACCAACAACTGCTCGTACGTGCCAGACGTATGGCTGCCCGACGTCGCGCTCACCTCTTCATGTAGCTCCTGCTCGACCGGCTCCTGCAAGTGCCCCTCTGGCCAGTGCGTCTGCGGCCCCTGCGCCAACAAGGCCCACTCCTCGAGCGTACGTGCCGTCGTGCTACTCACATCCGAGCTCTATCTCACCATTTCCCTCTTTTATAGTGTTCTTGCAACGGTTCCGGTTCCGGCTGCAACTGCGCTACCAAGGGCAACTGCGCGTGCTAAGTGCCTCGTCGTGTGACCGTGTATCATGTACGAATATGACCGAGGGAGGCTTGTATCACTGGCATGTAGGACGTTGAGATCGACATTGGCAACGCCGTGCTTCTGGGAATGAATATATCATGTTTTGTAACAGCGATCGAACCTTCCTTGAGCATCTCGGAGAATGAGGGAGACCTTTCAACGTACGACACCTGATATGTTCGAGTAAAACACCTCCGCTATACGCCTCAGGTGCTCAACCTTCTGCTCCGTCCTACCGTGACGTGACAGTGATGGCAATGTGAAAGGGTTAGGGTCACACTTCGTCCGAGTAGCCGGCGGAGTGAGCGCGGAGATTCTGGAGATACTATCATTTCGGGGGAGTTAGTCAGGTATCCCTCCATTTATTTTGTATCTTCATGATACCTTGAGATATGGACATCGGTCTTCGCAGTCCGGTGCAGTGCCACCCTGTATGTACTCAGCAAGGCGGGATACTGGACGGATGGGCAGTCGGCAGCCTTCTGATGTATGGTCGACGGGACTGGCCAGGTCCAAAGACAACCGTAATTGGCAGTTGCCGGTCTTCGGTTGGTGATGCATCGACATTGACATCTGGGGCTATAGCTATGTAGTCATGGTCACGGTCATGGGTATCCCTGGGGCGCGTCACGGTCTCCCGCTCTATTCCCGCCATGACATCGGAGGGAGGAGTCTCAGTCTACATCGCGCGCCCGGGCAACGTCAGGCCTACGTCACCGTGGATCCCTAGGCCTCGCGAGGTCTGCAATATAAACCACTCACGCTGAGCAGGTCAGGTACATTATTGCCTGTTACTACCACCACCACTAAGCGAAAGAAACGAACTAAGCGAAAGGAACGGATATGGCTGGAGACTGCACCTGCGAAGCGCGCTGCGGGTGAGTTCCGCGCGTCCGCGATGCTGCACCCGCTCATGTGGCCCCAGCGCGTGCGGCCCCTCCGGCACGGGCTGCGCGTGCCCGAAGGGCAAGTGCGACTGCGCGCAGTGCGTGAATAAGGCGCACACGGCTGGGGTACGTTCCCCGTTTTCCCTTCCCCCTTCCCCCTTTCCCTTTCCCTTCCCCTCCCCCCCCCTGCCCCCTCACTCCCTCACTCCCTCGTTCGCGAGTGAAATCGGTGGTACTGACGTGCGTTGTGTCGAACAGTGCGAGTGCGGCGGCTCCGCGCAGGGGTGCAAATGCGCGAAGGAGAGCAAGGCGTGCGAGTGCTGAGCGCCGGGCGGGCGTTCGCCTTTGGCTCGGATCCGAATGGTGGTGGCGGGGGGCGGGGGGCGGGGGCGGGGGGGGGGGGTATGAACAGCTCGTGCAGTGGACGTGTTGTATGAATCGTATTGCGTTGCATGTATGGTGGATGCATGCGCGTCCTGTTCCCTCAGTTGTTCGTGGTATCAGAAGAAAGTTGAAGAGAGGTAACCATCGTGGGGTATTCATATCATACAACCGTGTATACATCCCAGAGAAAAGGTCCGCACACCGCACAAATGTCCACAATCCAAGGTCCTCATAACCCCCACACGACCACTCATTACACCAACCCAGCGAGCACCACGCCCGCACCCGCCAGCGCCATACCCGCGCCAGCCCCGCTCGGCCTCCCCGCACCACCCGTCTGCACACACACACACACACACACACACACACACACACACACACACACACACACACACACACACACACATCAGCACTCCGACCACGCCAACGCAGGGAGGACGTACCGAGGCCGAGGACAAATCGGCAGCGGTCAGCCCCGGGCAGCCCGCGCGCGTCCCGCAGGCGTCGTTGCCGTTGCGGTCGAGCGCGATGACTTGCGGGAGGGCAGCGTCTATCGGGTCTGGGGCCGGGGACGCAGACGCAGACACGGATACTGTATGGAGGGCGATGAGCCTAGGCGGGGTGGAGGAGGGAGGGGCAGGGGCGTACGCAGGAGGAGCAGGGGCGCGAGTAAGAGCGTGGGTTGCATAGTGCGCAGAACAAGTCAAAGAGGCTCAGGACTGCGGTCTCCCATCGCACCCTGCTTATATACTAGACGTCGACTCGACTTTGATCCGTATGGGGAAGACATTCTAGTCGTAGGCAAGCACGAGAGTGTCGAGTTGAGGGAGTACAACGCCGTCCAGGGGGTCACCGAGGTGGCTGTGCACGGTTATAATTGGCTCAAGGAGGTCCATTGGTCATTGAGTCCGCGTCCTGGTCAAGCATCTGAATCCTTGTACATATCGCGGGGAAGTGTCCTGCTGTCAACGCTGTGTTCCTTGTCCTTGTCTGACGCTCCCCACCCACACCCGTCGACGCGCGTCACCTCCCCGCGCGTCGCCCGCTTCTGAATTGTACTTCCTTTCCTGATCTCACCCGGGCCCACGAATGCTGGAGTGGACGGGGGCAGTGCAGGCCTGCTCGCGTGTAAGTATCAGTGCCGCGTCCCGCTCCGGGTTGCATGCATGGACGAATGCGAGCATGCATGGTCCATTTAAGACAGTTGCTCGTCTACTAAGTCTTATTTAGGAGGCGCAGTATCAAGCCTAGGTCCCTGCTGCGTGCCACGAACTATCCAAAATACACACTCGCGCGATCCAACCGCCTGACCATCCCGCGCGCACGCGATCCATCCCCGCTCTTGTATGCACGCAGTCGTCCCCGTCCGTCCAGGATCTCAATGTCAAAGTCGGACGCGGGCCCCTCTGTCTCGTCAACGCACGCCCGCTCGTCGATCGCCCCTTAGGCGCCTCTACCAATCGATCGCGCACTCACTTCCGTCTGCATGATGCACGCCCGACAAGGCCCGGCGCGCCTCCATCCCCGGGGATCGCGCCCCGTGTGCGCTGCGCACCGCGGCCGATCCAGCTCTGGGTATCGAGCGGGGTGCGCCGGGCGGTAACGCCCCGAGAGTATACTACAAGTATCCCCGCCACGCGTGCTGCGCGTCCCATCCTTTCAAGTTGCTCCACCCCCCGCGGACCACGGGACCGATCCCTTCCTCCGCGACCTGCCCGCGTATCCTATCCAAACTGCACACCCGTCTGGCGCTGGTGCACACGGCCCGCCCCGCCCGCGCCGGCCGCCATCGCACTGGGCGGTAACGCCACCGCGACCCCCCCCCCACCCCGCCCCTCCCGTCCCTTGTCGCGACCGGGACCGCGACCGGGAGTGCTTGAACGTTTCTGTGGATCCGGGCGCGGGTCCCTCGGCGTATACATATATCCCAGAGCGTCACCGGCACCGCTGGCGCTCGTGGATCCAGGTGGCCTCCGAGCCACCATCACCACAGCAACGCAATGCGAATTTCCCCGGCCCCTGCCCGCACGGGCACTGGTCTTTCGCGAGGATCGGATCGGCGCGGTGAACGGTGAACGGTGAACGGGAGCAGGCTCTCCGGTGTCCAAGTTGCCTTGTCCGGTACCAACACGCTCGCCGTCAGCGATCCATCAGACCCGTCGCGCTCTTCATCTGAGAGAACAAGGCCGCGATTCGCTCCTCGGCCATCCCTACTTGTGATGCGTCTTGGCCATTAATGTATACGTATACAATCGGCGCCGGTGTCCTCGTGCCCGCGCGCATTCCGAGCCGAATACATTTACATAACATACCATACCCTTTCTCACTGCGTACTCATCTCCCGTACTAGTCAGTGGTAGCAGCCCCGAAGCTGGTTTCTGCCTGGGGATCCCGGATAGTACGTATACTAGTAGTGGGAGCGCAGTACTCTATCAAAACCCGCGGGGACAAACACGCGTCACGCAAAGTAATTATTAATATAACAAGGCAGAACGCACGTCCTGATTCCATTAGAGATGCTAGCTGCTCATCTTCTCATACATTGCGGAGGGCATGCAAACTAGGCGACAATATACAACGGGGTAGAGCATAAAAAGCGTGCAAAACAGTACTGAGCGGGGCGGGGGGATGTCAAATGTCGGACAGGTGCGTCGTGAAAAGCAGACTATAAGTGATGTACGTGCTGATTACTTTTAAGTAACGACTCTAATAAGATGCATGCATGCGAGTGTGAGGTAGCGGGCGATGGGCGGGATTAAGGGAGCGCGGGCGGGCGGGCGGGCGGCAGCGAGGGACGGGTCGGACGAGGAGAGCGAAGAGACGGACCATGCTTAATCCTTCTTCTCCTCCTTGTTCTCGGTAGACTCTGACGACGACGAGGACTGCTCCTCGGCGTTGCGCTTCTCGTACACCTTCTGGAAGAGACCGAGCGACGCCTGCTGCGTCTCGCTGATCTTCTCCCGGATCTGCTCCGCGGTGACGGAGGCGTCGCCAGCCTGGCCCTTGACAGCGATCTCGCGCAGCTCCGTGACGAGCTTCTGCACCTTCTCCTTCTCGGCGGCGTCCAACTGGTCCTTGAACTCGTTCATCGCTAGATGATGACGTTAGTTCGTGTTGGAAGCAGCTAATCATACACAACACTTACCCTTCTCGGTATCAGAGCAGACAGAGTCAGCCTTGTTCGACTCCTCGATGAGGTCCTTGCGGGCCTTGTCCTGCTCAGCGTACCGCTCAGCGTCAGACACCATCCGCTCAATGTCCTTGTCGCTCAGACCAGACGAGCTGGCAATCGTCATCGACTGGTCCTTGTTCGTCGCCTTGTCCTTCGCGGTCACGTGGACAATACCGTCAGCGTCGATGTCGAAGGTGATCTCGATCTGGGGGACACCCTTGGGCGCGGGGGGGATGCCGACAAGGTTGAACGAGCCGAGCAGCTTGTTGTCCCGGACGAGCTCACGCTCACCCTGGTAGACCTTGACCTCGATCGCGGTCTGCCCGTCCGCGGCCGTCGAGAAGGTCTGCGACTTCTTCGTCGGGATGGTGGTGTTACGAGTGATCAGCTTCGTCATGATACCACCGAGCGTCTCGATACCGAGAGACAAGGGGGTGACATCGAGCAGGAGAATGTCGGTGACGTTACCGGCCAAGACACCACCCTGGATGGAGGCACCGATGGCGACAGCCTCGTCAGGGTTGACACCCTTGTTAGGCTCACGGCCGAAGACACTCTTGACGGTGTCGACGACGCGCGGCATGCGCGTCATACCACCAACCAAGATGACCTCGTTGATGTCGCTGGCCTTGACACCAGCGTCAGCAAGGGCCTTCTTGCACGGGTCGATCGTCCGCTGGACCAAGGGAGCGACAAGCGACTCGAACTGCGAGCGGAGAAGCTTGTGGTTGATGTGCTTGGGACCGGAGGCGTCAGCGGTGATGAACGGCAAGTTGATCTCCGTCTGCGACGTCGAAGACAGTTCAATCTTCGCCTTCTCCGCCGCCTCACGGATACGCTGGATGGCCATGCGGTCCTGGCTCAGGTCCGTGCCCGTCTCCTTCTTGAACTCGTTGAGGATATGATTGACGAGCACGGAGTCAAAGTCCTCACCACCCAAGTGGGTGTCACCGTTCGTCGACTTGACCTCGAACACGCCCTTCTGCATCTCCAGAATGGAGATATCGAAGGTACCACCTCCCAAGTCGTACACGGCGATGACCGACGAGTCGGTCTTGTCGAGACCGTAGGCGAGAGCAGCTGCCGTGGGCTCGTTGATCACACGGAGGACGTCGAGGCCAGCGATGGTACCGGCATCCTTCGTTGCCTGCCGTTGGGCGTCGTTGAAGTATGCCGGAACAGTGATCACAGCGTGGCTAAGACAGCATTAGATGCGGTAATGAAAGGAACAACGCAATCACTTACTTGACCTTCTTGTTCAGGAACTGTTCCGCAGTCTCCTTCATCTTCACGAGAACCATCGACGACAGTTGCTCGGGTGACTGGGATCACATCAGCCTTCACGCCCACATATATACCATCGGTGCAAGACTTACGTATGTCACCTTCTTCCCCCCATCTTCAACCTCGACTGCCGGGCGTCCGTCCGACTTGGGCACGACCTTGAACGGCCAGTGCTCCATATCCTTCTGCACCTCCGGGTCCTTGAACTGGCGACCGATGAGCCGCTTGAACGCGTACACGGTGTTCGCCGAGTTGACGATGGCCTGACGCTTCGCAGGGAGTCCGACAAGGCGCTCGCCGTGCTTCGTGAACGCGACGACGGACGGCGTCGTGCGTGCGCCTTCGGCGTTTTCGATCACGCGCGAGCTCTTGCCCTCCATGACGGATACACACGAGTTCGTGGTACCCAAGTCAATACCGATCACAGGGCCTGGTAGCGCGAGCCGACTTTAGCCTCTGAGGAACTTCCATTGAGCTTTTCACGCGAACTCACCCTGCACCTTCGTGTTCATGTTCCGCGCAATCATGGACCGCGGAATGCCCTACACATCACAGTTAATAATCGCACTAACGCGCCTGCATCCATACTCACAGCATAGTTCCCGCCGCGGGGAACAAACGCGCGCACAGAACGCAAAGCAGAGAACATGACGAGTGGTGGGATGGAGGTGAAGGAAAGGAGGAAGATGAGAGTCGCTCCGGACTTTGCGTGTACAGAAATTTGAAGGCAAGCGTAATGCGTGGGACTTCCCTGTGCCGAGTTCCGGAATATTCCAGCTGCCAGCAAAGCCGGTCATTTCCGACCACGGAGCGGGTATAAGGTTGCCGCGGAGCCGCTGCGCGGTGGGCAGGAGATGACTGAGCCACAATTTACAAAGTCCCATTCAAGGACGGCGCGTGCACTCTGCTCCGACTGATTCATGAAAAATTGTATAGGATGATGTGGTGTTACAGATACAGTAGCATACAAGAGATAAATACCCAATAAAGATACTCCGGGAGACAAGGAAACCGAATCATGGTCACTGATAGAGAAGAGAAGAGAATAGTCATGTTCATGGCACCCAGAAGTCCCTGCGCGGTAAGGTTGTCGAACGACCGATGGGAGAAGCCTGCGCGGATCGCCCGCCTTGCTCCGAAGGCGTGCTTGACCTCGTACGGGAGACTGCAGAGCCGACAGCAACTGCAGGTCTCGCCACTATTGACGAAGGAGGTCTTGCAGATGCGGCATTCAAGACGTCGTGCTGCCGAGAAGGACCAGCACGAGAGGCGCGGCCGATAGTTGACGGACCGAAGCGAGAACTGCAGGCGGAAGTATCGTGTCGGCAGTGAGGCTTGAAACAGGGTGTTCCCGACGCTTGAGAGGAGCTCGCCACAGAGCGCCCAAAGGCCGAGCGCTTTGCGAACGTCAGAGGAGCGGTAGGAGGTAATTCTTGACGAGATAAATCTGGAGACATTGAATTTGGCCTAGTGAGCCCGGCCTTCCGCGAAGATAGTACAGGGACAGCCGACGGCCGAGGGCTACCACGGTTCATAATGTGTTTGGGCTTGACTGTGTTGGTGATATCCATCAACGGCGTGGCAGGTATGCTTGGACTGGCCCAGGGAAGCTTAAGAGTCGAAACGGAGTCTTCCAAGTCGTCAGGAAGCGCTTCACCAATATCGAGGTCCCGCGAGTCCCTAAGGGGCCGACGTTTGGTCGAGGAAGGAAGAGACGACTTAAAGGGTTCACCAGAGCCGTTCGGCCTTCTACGGCTTCCGATGAGGGAACCTGAACCAGCGCGAACATCCATTGATGGCTTGCGTCGGCCAGACCCAGTTGGAATACCAGAGAGAACCGGTGAGGTAGGCGTAGCGCACCCAGAACTGAACATGCCGGTAGATGTAGAGAGGCCAGATTTGACGAATCGGGTGGACACGGGTAGAGGAGGCGGCACCTGCCTCTTCGCAGGAGTACGTTTCATCGAGGCAGCAGCAGCGACAGATGATTCTATAGATCTAGAAGTCAAGCTAGAAGTAGAAGAGGACATTCTTGAATGCTGTCGGAGCTTGCCAGTGCCAAAAGATATGGGCGGACTTGACGGAGCAACTAGTCGAGACACAGAGGGTGTGCTTAAATCCTGTCGGTGCTTGCCATTGCTAGAGGACACGGGCGGACTTGTCGGAACGACCGTTCGAGACACAGAGAGGGTCTTGGTATCCCATCGGACCTTGCCATTGCCAAAGGATACAGACGGACTTGATGGAGGTACCAACCGAGACACAGGAGGTCGCGGCGCCCGGGAATTGACGGCCTTGCGCGTGGAATCAGAACTGCCGGAAGTCGAAGATTGCTCGCCAGCTCTTACATAGGACATCGGCGATGGCGAGTCTGATTGTGAGATGCTCGCCTGCTTTCGAGCCCGAGCAGCGGTAGAGCCAGCCGGCGGAGAACCGATACTCGCCTTCCTGCGACCACGAGCAGTCGGCAGAGAAGAGACAGCTGGCGAACCGCTGCCGCCAGATGGTAAGAGACTAGAACGTCTTGCACTTGAAATTGACGCTCGGCTGCCCTTCAACTTATTGACATTTGGAGTGGGCAACCTCGACACCGCACGAGACTCTAAAGCATTTAGAACAACCACTTTCGAAGTGGGAGGAGACACCGGAGCCCCAACATACCTACCATACCCCGGAGAAAGATCACCCATACACCCAGCAACAACAAACTCACCCGTCATCGTCGCAGCGTCCACTGGAGTGTCCTGATCCACTTGGCCACAAAGGACAGCTTCTCCCTCAGCCAGAGGGGAGGACAGGCTGCGAGCGACGACGAGCTCACCGTTGGCTGGGGCGGGCATCCCTCGATCCAGAGCACTGGTCTGCAGCAAAGGTTCGGTTAGCTTTGGTAGGAGTAGATATATGCGCGCATATAGTACTCACAAGCACGTCAGAGACTCCTGACAGGGGAACATGTCCCTCCTTCTCGACAACGAGGCTGTTAGACTCGGGCTACAAAGGAAGAAAGCAAGATCGTCAGCGCCACAAACCTCTCCGACAGACATCACATACCTTCTCATCCAGTGCAGCATCCTTCTCGCGCATAACGTCCTCGCTCTCCTTCCCATCCACAGGCTTGACCGCAACGTCCTCAGACGACTCCTTCATCACCCAGACCTTCCTCCTGTTCCGTCGCTCCTCGGCGCCCTCGTCGTCTTCCGACCGTTCATCCTGCTTGGCATCGGTATCTTCGCCATCCTCGTTCATGCCACTGCCCTCGCCCTTCTCGACCGCGAGCATCGCCTTGCCCGGCGCCTCCTTCATCACCCACATCCTCCGCCGGTGCCGCTTCAGCTCCCGCTCCTCCTCCTCCGAGTCCCACTCGTCCTTATCCTCCTGCGATTGTTCATCCCCGTCGTCCTCGTCGACTTGCTCGCATGATCCGACTTGTCCAGCGTCCGCGGCCGGAACAGCGACAAGCTCCTGGGAAGCCTCGATAACCAGACCATCCTCGGCCACAGGTTCGATACGCGCCGTAGTGTTGTCCTCCACCGTCTCGACAGTTGCATCAGTAATCACAGCGCGCACCGTATTCCCCTCATCCACCGTAGCCATTGCCGTGATAGTAACCGACGACCGCTGCCTCGCATGCCCCCCTCGCTCCAACCTCAGCGTAACGCTCGCTCGATCCCCCATCTTCTTCACCTTCACCGCTGGGACCTCAAATCCGTGATCCTTGCACACCGCCCGCAACGCGCAGCGCATCGCAGCAGGACTCAACGTCACTCGCTCCGGCTCGGGCGCTTCCGTGAGCAGGCGTCTTGTCTCCAGCGGGTAGTGCTGCCTCCCTACCCGGCGCCGGCGCATGGTCGCGGGGTGCTCGCCGTTCAGGAGCTGGCGGATCACGTGGTCCAGCTGGTAGCGAGGATGAGCTCGAGGAGAGGAGACAGGAGAGAGAAGGGGATACGTACCGGGAGAAGAGGGCCGAAGACTTTAGTGATGTCTTCTTCGAGCTCGGCATCGAGGGTGGTGGTGGTGGTGGTGATAGAGACGTTGGTAGGGGTGTTGCTCAAGCTCAACTCCTTAGTTGGGGGCGCCCACTCCATGTCTCTGGTCCTAGCCAGCCATTCGTCCACCATCGCCACAGTAAGGATCCCATTTGCCTCGGCTTGCAGTGCAGGGGCCTCCTCCTTCGGTGTCAGTACGACGCTATTGGGAGTAGCGGTGAAGATAGGAAGCTGATCCTCCACCACGGTAGTGTTGTTACTCGCGTTCATCACCGCTTCAGGCGGCGTCCAGTCTTTGGTCGCCTCTAGCCATTCCTCCACCATGGCAACAGTGAGGACTCCCTTCCCCTCCACTTGCTCCGCAGGCGCAGGATCGCTCACTGTAGATAAGTTGAGCACGATTCTGAGCGAGGAAAGAAAATGTCTAACCCTGAATAGTATGTTCGACAACCGTCCGGTCGGCATCCTCGACGCCATCGTAAACATCATCAGAAGGGGCATTCAAACCTGCCTCGCCCATAGCATGCTCAGCCCCACCTCCCGACTTGTCGTGAGGTTCTTCGATAGTGATGTTGAAGGGAACCATCGGTCGATAGTGTGTGGACGTGTCGTCGTCCGGAATCCATGCTCCTGGAATAAAATTCTTCGTAACAGTATCACCGTCAGCGATGTCTATTTCTTCGAAAATATCGTCATCGCCGCAGTGGGCGTCAGTGTATGCGGTATGGATCGTGATGGGGCCTTCATCGAGTGTCTTCCATACGCCTTCCTGGTGTCCCCTACATTCATCGACAATATCCTTCTCAACGTGAGGGTTGTCCTGATCCTCGTAAAAAGCACCGGGGACGGCCATCTTCTCCTCGTAAAAAGCACCGGGGACGGCCATCTTCTCCTCGACCTGTGCATCAGAAACGCGCTCGACCTCGGTCGTGACAGAAACAACAGGACGCGGGAGCTCAAGCTGAGCCCGCTCCTTGGCTTTCTTGTCGTAATAACGCAGCGCGACGATAGTGCCTGCTGCAAGACCGGCGACGCCCATGGAGATCCCGACGCCGACGACGATCTTGAGCGCGGGGACCTTGAAGACTGCCAGCGACGACGCCGACGCGGCGGGAACCGCGACTGGAGCCATGGACAGGCAAGAACGTGTGGGCTTCGCGAGTGTTGGTATGTCGCAAAGGGTTGGATGCGCGGGGTGGTCGTGGTTCAAGTTGAAGAGGGATGTGAAGGTCGGACAGGGAGACTTATACGCTGCCCTCCCTTCACATTCTCAACTGACACTCACCTTTTTTGGTATGTTCAGAACGACGCGTCCAGCGATCGGCGGAGGTTGTCGATCGCTGGACGCGTCGCCCTTCACGCTCCTCATTTGAGAGTGCGCTACTTACCAAGTGCAATGTCCAGCTGGCTGCGATCGGTGCCCTAAACATTCATAATAAAGAGTATGAGTGGTGCCTTGCAAGAATGCCCTGAATCCTGCGACAAGTCCACTACCAATTATCGATGTCTCCAGAGCAATGCCGCGCCGGGCTGGAGAGCAGGACGTCTCATACTTTTGCTGAGTTTACTGACCGCTGTTTCTTGAAGCGGGATATTCCACTACCGAACAGTCGATATCGTCGATGGTCAGTCATTGTAGGCTTAGGACGATGAGGGTCCTAGAGGAGGGACTACTGTGTCAATGCAGGACTTCATCATGTTCATGAAGTTTGGAAGAAGTGTTATCATCGGTATGTTTCCCACGCCCATACGGTGCATATCCTCGTGTAAGGTGGCACGCTCAAGCATGTCCCCTGAGAGCGTTCGTCAGAGCTGCGACTCAAACTACTATATATCCAGCACCGGCGGCATAAAACAAGAGTACAGGCCATCAGCATCCAAATCACATCTAGCGATACATATATCCAGAATATCGGCCCTGGCAGGACCAAAGCAAACGACCCGGCCTACACATTGACAGCGGTCTCCCCCCGCATCGCCCTATCCCAATAATGAAAGTCAATTGGGGAAAACACCATCGTGCTCCTCCACGCCCGATAATACATCATGCGCAGCTCATGGGGAACCCGCTCGCTGCCAGTGGCAAGCTGCCACATCGGCGCCCTGCACCCGACGCCCTTCCAGACCGCCTCTTGCAGCTTCCGCTTATCTTCGTTCGATACCCAGTGGTCTACAAGATCGAGGTTCCTGAAAGGCCTAGGTTGAATAGCCCACAGCGGCACGGTACGCGCCCCCTCCCAGTCGATGACGGCCTTGATCCTCCCTGGGTCGTAAGGGTCCACCAGGATGTTGTCCAAGGTAAATTCAGGATGTTCCAAAGCGATCCCGCAGAGCTCCTGCATGCCACTCGGGATTAAGATCGAAGTCCCTTTGATCCTTGCCAAGTTGATGTCGACGTTTGCCTTTTGGAAGGGATCCAGTTCTAGTCCAGAGTCGAAAGACATTCGGCGCATCGCCAGAGACTCCAGCCAGGCCAAGTAGTTCCTATAAGGTCCACAAGAAGCAGGATCCGGTGCGGCCAAATCGTGTACGTTTCTTGAAGGTGTGAACGTCATCGGCCCAACCACGCATAGACCTTGCTCGTCCTCCTGCAGGCTACCGATCGCAGGGAAACGCAGCGATACTAGTTCGGCCAGGACCGCGATGATTCCAGCAACAACGCTGGCCCGCTCATCAGCAGTCATCTGCACCCAACATTCGTCCAGGGGGACACCTTGTACCTTGAAGCGCTCAGTGCAGACAGCAAACAAGGAACGAAAGAGCAGGATGGACGTACGTATTCCATGACCATCCACTCCCCGCCCACACCCCCGTCCGCGTCCGCGTCGTACACGAACACTTCCGGTACGGGCACCCGCGTGCACTTCAGCACATGCTTCATCGTTGCAATCTGCTACGCTTCAGGGACCAGCGACAAATGTAGCAGGTAAAGGGAACACTGACCTCAGATTGCATCTTCGTCGCGGGCGTCACGCCCGACCCCAACTTCCTCGATACGGGGCAGTGGACGCGCACGAGGCGGACCACGCCGCTCCTCAGGATGACCAGGTACGTCTAGATATACGGAAAAAGAAAGAACGATTGTCGTGTATGTAAACATCCATTCCCTTTCACCTCCTTTGGGATGAAAGAACATACCTTATGATGCCGTCCTGTAGAAGTGACAATGTCCGGGTTCTGTCAGCGGGGTCCCGCGTGTCCGTATAATAGACCAGATCACCTTGTACATATTCCTTTATATCCTCCACCCACTCCCCGAGGCGCTTCCCTACCCTCCATGCAAGCACCTCCGCGTTGATTTTGCCTTCTGCAGCCTGGGGCATGATTGTATGATGTTAGTATTTGTGTTTGCAAACGCAGGTGATGTGCAAGCCGTCCGCGTAAAGCAGGTGGCTAGGCTATGGAGAAATATCGGTCGCGTCGCGCGCGACGCGTCTTGTACTCTAATTAGAGCCACGTGACTGGATGGTATGCCTCACGCCGGCAAGCCGAAGCGTGAATGCAAAGCGCGTCCCAGAGGTAAGGGCTCTCGGGAACGCTTAGAGCAGCATAACCATGTTGCGAAGCGAGGGCAAAAAAGATTGTGATTTCCAGTATACTGTACGACGTCAGGACACATTGAGGGCGCAGGACAACGACTAGGCAACTCACATTAGTAGTTCGTACATCTGTGACAGGTCTCTGTTCAGACCATGTGCGCTGGTATTGGAAGCTCCACATGTGTGATGAAAATCGCGCATAAGAAGCCAAGCGTGCTCACCCGCATCCCGCATCCCTCAGATCTTAGCCCTTCCACCGCCGGCACCCGCTCTTATCCAGCGCCTTCTTAATAGGCGACTCCCTCCGGTTCGGCGCAAGCGCCAAGCACGTAGGCACGTTCTCCGGCTGCTCGACCCAAAGGTGGTGCGGCACTGGCGGCGTCGACGAGCTCAGTAGTGTCGCGAGCTTGGTCAGTGAGTCTTCGTTAGCCGTCTGGTAAAGATATGTGAGCGAGAATTGTGCGGAGAGTGTTGGAGGGAGCGCGCACTTGCAAGACCGCCTAGAGAAACAGGATACGCGGGTTACCTTTGTTCTTTCAATGAAAGTAACGGTTCTGTGAGATACCTTTCGCATCTCTTTGAGATTTTCGAGATACTCCACTGTCTCAGGCCTGTCCCGCGTCTCATGCAGCACCTGTTTCCATAAGTTATCGTACACCATCATCAGCCCGCTCTGCATGCCGTCCTTGGACGCTCACGAACGGCAGCCGTTGCGTGCGCTACTTGCGCCATCAATGGACCAAATCCCCACCCTTCCGCCTACATATATAGCACTTCTCAGCTCCTCTCTATTCAGTACAGAGACGGAGGGCGCACGCACATCAAGCAAGTCCCGTCTGACCACTATCTGCATGACCTGCGGCGGTGGGGATTCGGATGCGGCGGTTCCTGGATTTTCTGCGCTCGGCCGTTCCGTTGCGCTAGACATAGCAGGTGAATGTGTCAAAGGTCGGGTCAGCTGTCTCCGCGTATGAATTCCGAAGCCAGAGCCCACCAACTTGAAGAGCATTAGAGCGTATTTGCAACGGCCCAAAGACCACTTTCCTTCAGCAAAGTGGGGCCTCTGATCCCAAAAGTCTTGGCGGGCTGCCGAGGAATGCCGGCTCCTGGAATGACGCAACGCGCACGTGTGCATCCGGGCTCCGGCCGGCCTTCCTCATTGAGTGCACCCGTGCCGGCGCAGGCTTTTCTACCTCGACATCCAGTTCCCTAGAGATAACTATGGATCTACAAGCTCTCTCACGTCTATTGCTGGCCTCGCTACCTTTCCTGGATGGCGTAGCAGAGCTACCGCCTTCCCATCGTATCGCCTCCCAGGCTGTCCTACCTACAGCACCTGCAGATTTTCAGGAACATGCAGCATACCTTCGTGCAGCGGAGCGGGAAGTGCGGGAGCGAGCGCGGCCTGAGCAGGGTGGACAACGTATCACTCAGGAGTGGCTGCAGTCTCTAAGGAGCCGTGACTGCCAATGGCGATTCCGGTACATATCAGCACCACCTTGAGATGTTTTTTGCATGTTGAAATTAATATGATAGTTTCACATATGATGAGATCCTTGAGATGGTTGATGCCTTCGATATACCGGAGGTGTTCACTACATCTGGTCGCTATCAGTTTGAAGGCATTGAAGCTTTCTGCTTACTCTGTGCCCGTTTTCGATCTGCTGGCGACATGTATGGACTTTCAATGCAATATGACCGATCTCAGTCTGCAATATCCGAGTGCATCAATGAACTCGTAGAGTTCCTGGATGACAGATGGGAGCATCTCCTGGGTTGTGATTCAGAACATCTGCTCAAGCCCTCGGAACTAGCCCGATATGCAAAAGCTATTGAAGACCGTGGTGCCCCTACTCAATCTGTTTTCGGCTTCATTGACTGTACGATCCGACGCATATGCCGCCCAACCTGGTTCCAGCGACAGGCTTATAACGGCCACAAGAAGTATCATGCCCTCAAGTTTCAGGCAGTTATGCTTCCGAACGGGATTATTGGCCACTTGTATGGGCCAGTCGAAGGGCGGAGGAATGATGCATTTATGCTGACTGAAAGCCAACTCCTCGATCGGCTGGGTACATTTGCATTCCGAGAAGGTGTGCAGGAGGATGCGCCATTGGAGGAACGTGTCTTCCAGATCTTTGGGGATCCCGCGTATGGCATTGGGTACCATATTATGAGCCCCTTTGCTGGTTTTGGTGAAAGGACAGTTGAAGAAAAGGAGTGGAATGGTCGGATGGCAGCTGTCCGGATTGAAGTCGAGCATGGTTTTGGGATTGTTGCAAACTTATGGCCATTTCTCAATGCAGGTTGGAAGATGCAGCTTTATAATTCTCCAGTGGCACGTTACTACAGGGTGGGTGTCCTTCTTACCAATGGACTTAACTGTCTTCGACCAAACCAAGTATCACAATACTTTGATTGTATGCCACCAGAACTTAATGATTACTTCCATGACTAGGTATGATTATATACATGAATGTAAACTATACTACATGGGTTAAAATACAAAAAGATTATTGGAAGATAATATAGCTAATGTTTCTCTATCACCGCCCGCATGAGGGCAAGAAAGTCCTGACGAAAGTTATGATTATCTTGAGCCTCCCGTGCATACAATTCATTACCCCGCTCAATCTGCGAAAGGACCTTAGACTGAAATGCCTGCCTTTCTGCACGTTCCTCCTCTAAGAATGTCAGGACTTTGTCCATCTTGTCCTCCCGCTTGATCCTCTTGGAAGCCCCGCCATCATCACTTGACATGCTACTTGCTTTCGTGACCTTCTTCCGAGCATAGAAGTTCTTGAGGTATGTCTTCTCCGTAACAGTCCGAGTTTTGCTCTTGCTCTTCATGCCGCCCACAGGAGACTTCGGCGGCCCCGACACCATACTATTCTCTTTACCCGAGCCCTCACTGCTACTGCGCTTCGTCCCTGAACGAGTTGGACTGGCTGTCACACCACGAGCGGGAGAGGGGCCTAATGCTACACGGGTCGTAGTGGGCGTCGTGGGTCTAGTGATGGCAGGTGCAGCGGTGGCAAAAGTAGGGACAACAGCGGGAGTAGCAGGGGAACCAGGAACAGGAGTGGCAGGCACCGTAGCAGTGATGATCGCGACGGCAGGACCAGTAGGCGAAGTGGGTTCACAAGTCGAAGGGTTACCAAGATCATACGGCAACGGGGAGACAGAGTCAGAAGCAGCAGCAGCGGACAAAGCAGCAGCAGGGGTGGCGTCCACATTTCGGCTCGTGTCCGACATCCCCGTAATGCTCCTGGTTGTGGCAGGTGAGGTTGGGTCCTCCTCACCGATATACAGGCCGTCCGAGGGTTCAACATCACCCTCAGAACCCGACGAGAAGGGGGATGGAGGGCGCCGACAGCTGCGTCGCAGCGACGCGTCACGCACTATGATGCCCCCGATGCGATCCTGTTGCCTTCGCTGAAGAGGTATGTTGGGTTATAGACTGGAGCACATGCACGAAAACTCGATAGACTAACCTCCGCCTCAACCGCCCGCTCTGAATCCTCCATCGTAGCGAACCTAGCTTTCGTAGATGCGAGCAGGTCGATTGGTGCAGCTAGCGTGGTGTCCCAGGGGGGGTGTAACGCATTACGAATAGACGGTGTCGCTTTGTCCGGGGACTGAAATGTTTGAGTCCGTAATTCGAAGTGAAATAGGGCTGAGAAACTCACATCATGCCAGAGTAATAGATCATTGAGCCTGTCCTTGCACACACCATCACTCCAATCCACCCCCTTCCCTCTCATCTTAGCCCCGATTTCATTCAACCGCTTGCCCTTCTCCCCAAAGGGCGCCGCGTAGTAGTCAACCTCGATGGCGGCATGCACTAGGTCCAGGAGGTCTTGACCCGACCAGTCTTGCCGCTTCGATGTCGCCTTTCCCTTCCTCGGCTTAGGTGCCACTTGTTTCCGCGGCGCAGGCTGTTCCTCGGGTGTAGCGGGTACGTTGGGCAGACCACCCTGGACGGGTTGAGTCGGGACTTCTTGCAGCAAGTTTGAGGCGTTGGTGGACAGGCGAAGGGGCTCCCCTACCACGGGCTGCATGCCGAGGGTCGTGTAAGGGGTAATCTCGCTACTATCATGTTGCTGATGTTCGAGCTGCTGTACTTCTCCGAGACCTGCTGGCAAGCCAGGAAAGAGCTCCGGAGCAAAGTCGAAAGCGTTGGCAGGAAGTTGTAGTGCGCAATCGTCGCTGGACATAAGTTGCTTAGCAAGGGACGCTGCCGTTGACGCAGGCAATCAGTGCAGACGAGACGAGACGCGACGGAGTGTCAACGAGACGCGACACGCACGTGACGGCAATTCGGGATGGCCGGCCGGGCAAGCCACGGCACTCAAATCAAGCCTATGACGCATCGGCTAACTGCGCCAGTTTGATGGCAAAATTGGAGCCGTCGTCTCAGCAAACTTTTGGGCGTTGCAAATACGCTCTATTTCTTCTGAATCTTCCAGACCAATCAGGAGCGGTTATTCTTTACAGTCACGTGATGTGGGGAACCTGAATCAGTCCAGCGTCCTTGCGAAGTCCTCGTGCCTCCGTCCGCTCGCACTTGTCACCGTCTGACACTAACAAATAGGCTACGTGCCATGGTGTTTTTCAAATCAACTACTGACCCAACTATACGGTCTACTACGGACCTTGTCATACTGTCCCATCTCAACCAAAGAGAGATCGTACCTTTGCCACAAACATATCAGGTGCTACGCATTCGCTGCTCCGTAGGAAGTGGGCTCATATACACATCTAACAGGATGTCATAGACATAACTCGTGAGATCTTTGAACTCGACAGGGACGCCGTCATTGTTCTCAAGACCGACGATCCCGACGCATGTCGTGGACAAGCAGCCGTAATCAATAAGCGGGCCTGGGACTCTCTCCGCTTACTCCTGGAGATCATAGAAGTCGAGGTAAAGGATGATCAGCAGCAGAAAGTTTCTCCAGGTACGCTTGCCACTACCTCGGAGGCTTGTCACTTGCACTCAATGTCCCGACCGCGGCCCAGCGGAAACCGCGCTCAGTGCGCGTGGTACAAAGTGCTCGGACTCGGACGTGGACGACAACGACTATTTCCTAGTGGTGAGGCCGTCCAAGTCCTTCCTGCGAGGGAAAGTGTGGTTGGCCTCTGTTGGAGACGAGGAGACGGCATCTCCTTCGGCGGATGATGGCGGTAGCCCATGGATCGGATCGGACTCGGAGCCTTCGGCGTCCACGGAGGAGGCACCGGTACCTGGCGTTTCACTGAGCGGAGGTTGGTCCATGGCAGAAAACTAGCAAAGTTAGCTGTGAAGACCGAATCATCGAAAGGCATCAAAGATGCCCCCACACAAACCTTCAAAAGCCGTGCGAAATTCACAAGCTCTGCAGAGGAAGGTAAGTGCTCATGGCGGGCTGCTTCACTCTTACAGCGACATGCGATTTATCCTACAGATGCTCTCCCAAGACACCAACCTGTACAGGTGAAGTACGAGAAGCCTTTCTCCAACGGTGTTCCCTCCGACTCAAAGCAACTCGTGTCTGGCCAGAACAACTCTATGAACGACGGTGTGTATAAAGCGTACTTCAGCGTCCGGCTGCATCTATTAATCACTTGGCATCTGCAGATTATACCAGTGCCTCACAGCAGTCGCAGTCCCAGTCGCGATCACCATCACAACAAACAGAGGAGCCCGGCTCGACCGACAAATTCATGATATCAGTCGAGCACGGCGAACCCTCGATGTCCTCTTTCCGACAAACGCAGGCTCTAAATAGTGGCCTGCCGCTCAAGCCTGTCGCCGCGTTTCAGTCGGCCGCTAACCCCTCGACACCCAACTTCAGCATTACCGGTCGACGAGGACTCGCCGGTCGTGGTGGATTCGGAGGTTCGCGGATTGCTCGACAAGCTCACCATGGAGCGCTTCGAGTCTACCTCGAACAAGATCATCGACTGGGCGAACAAATCCGAGAAGGAGAAGGACGGCCGTATACTTATTCAGGTCATTCATTTGATCATAGAAAGGGCGATCGACGAGGCTGCTTTGTCAGATATGTACGCGCGCCTCTGCCGAAAGATGACAGAACAAATCAGCCCCAACGTCCAGGTTGAGGGCATCCGGAACCCTGAAGGCAAACCTATCACCGGCGGTCAACTCTTCAGGAAGTACTTACTCGACCGCTGTCAAGAGGATTTCGAGCGTGGATGGGCGGCTCAGGAGGCCCCTGCTGCCGCTGCCAAAGTAGAAGCTTCGGAAAATGAAGCCACATTGCACCCCAAAGAGTACCTTGCGGCACAGAAGGCTAGGCGACAGGGTCTCGGTCTGATGAAGTTTATCGGCGAGCTGTTCAAGCTGCAGATACTGACGGAGCGTATCATGCATGAGTGCATCAAGAAGCTCCTTAGCAACGTGGACAACCCCGAAGAGGAGGAGATTGAATCCTTGTGCCAACTGCTCACGACCGTCGGCCAGATCCTCGATACGCCGCGAGCCAAGTTGTACATGGATATCTACTTCACCCGGATGAAGGAGCTGGCGAAGAACCCGAAGGTTTCGTCCCGTATGCAATGCACGTTGCAGGTACATTCAAGTTATCTCAGTGTGTATTTCTTTCCGAGAATCGTCCTGATTATGCTTCCGCTAGGATGTCATTGAACTGCGGGAGCGGAGATGGATTCCTCCGACTATGATTGCCCTTTGGGTTTGAATCTGGTATCGATGCGCACTGCCAGATTACTGTCAGAACTTCAGCCTTCCAGCCTGGATCCGAGAGTATTTATCGGCGTGCTCTTGGGGTCGTCGACGTCCAGGACGGGGGAGGAGTATGGCGCGATCAGTTCTGAGATTAATCAACGTGGTTTATTGTGGCTGCAGTCGATTATCGCGTCGCTGTCATGTGTCATTGGTGACAGTCAGAGTGAGCGATTCACGGGCGATTCGGGACTTGGATTCTAGTACATTGGGCTCTCGGCGCTCGCACATGGTTTGGCCTTCACTCCAACCACTGCCTAGCATTATTGGGACCAACCATACCGACCGGTAACATCGACATCTCAGAGTTCATCGATGTGGAATACGCAGCTAAGCACTTGCATGCTCCTGCTTGATCAATGCGGAGTATGGAATATCGTGTGCCTCAGGCTTCCCTCTCAGCCATGATCACTGAAATTTGGAGGATGCATATTATCTCGCATGAGATATGTCTGTCACCGTGCTCCGCTAGCGCTATTCGGAGCACATTGACCGACCTATTTCATTGATTCTGACAGTGAACAACGAGCATGCGACATATGCCAGGCTACTGATTGCGCGATGGTAGGCCAGAGCTCACTAGTGATGCAGTGCAGAACAAGGACAAAACTAGTTTGCCACCGAACAATGACTGCAATGAACGCAAGGTACTGGGGTCGCCGGGTATAAGGGATATAAATTACAGTTATGCCAAATATGAGTTCGTCGTGACGATCATGAGAGTCGTAAGCTCGCCGGGTTGAGGTTTAATATTTGCGGTTCCATTTTCTGAAGCTGAGGATCCCGTCAAAGCTGCATTACCGCCAGAGAGCACAATACACTCACAATTGGCCGCTCCCACCACTAGGACGCACCCCACAGCAATAACAAACCCTCGCACTCAGCGCAATGACCCCCGCCCACGTTAGGACCATGCCAGCCAGCACCATCCATACCGCATTCCCGAAACTGATCGTAAACGTGCCAAGGTTAATATTCTTCACCTCGTTCATCGCCACGATCACCAGCGCCAAGTCGATCGCGAACACCAGACTGCTGAGCAGCGCCGTCACGATCGCGATGATGAGCGAGAGCGTCGACATAGCGTGCGACTCCAGGAATAAGGATGTGAATGCGACAATGAACGAGAGCCCGCAGGTGACAGGATGCAGGACTAGGATGACGGTAAGCGTCTCCGTGATGGCGTCGACGAGCTGCGGGTAGCCAGTCAAGAGCAGGATGTCCTGCCCGAGCGTCGTGCTGTTGTCGACGCGGTACCCGAGCTGGGGGCCAATGCAGTCTCCAGGGTTGGTAAACCATGTCGGTGGGTTCAACACGCTAGACTCGGCGCGGTTTCAATGCACGGCGAGGAACCTAAGGATGACGCTGTGACGCACCTGGTCGCGCAGAACCCCCACACCCCAAACCGCACCTCCGTGGCCACATTCGTCTCGGGCTGCCCGGCAACTGGCACCGCGTTCAGCTGCAGCACGTATATGGCCTTGATGATCGGCAGGGAAAGCGCGACCAGGAGAAAAAGCACGAACGCGGCGAAAAAGAATGCATGAATGAACAGGGAGAGCGTCCGGTGCTGGGCGAGCGCACGCATGGTGGTGGTCCGATGGGAAGACGGTGGGCCACGCTACGTTGCGTTCTATATATGAATCGGCGGATGGGAAGCGAAGCGAGAAGTCCTTCGTGACCTGCTAGGGGCTCCTCAGCATAACAGACAAAGTCCACAGCGCCCAGCACTCGACCGGACGATTATTCTTGGCTAGCGAGGCCAAGCAACATCGACCGGATAGCGTCAAGCCCATACCCTTGCCATGGTAGCATCACGATGTTTAGCGGCACGTTTGACGGCGGCCACGGCTAAATTGGTGTTTACTACCCTTCACTTCAAAACCCTTAGACTCTGAGAGATTCCGGTTTCGCAGACCAGCTAAAGTGAGCTGCAGCAGTCCGTCATAAGTGTGCAGTCGAAGGAGACGTTCCGCAGTATACATGGCCAGAATATAGATGTCTTTCACGAAGCAGAACAGAGCAGAATGCTGGGAACGGGAATGGTCCACCGGATCAAGTGCCAGTGTTCCCACCGTCTGCAGTAATACCGTGGGGAAGTCAGTCCCAGACTTCAAGTTGCCATTTGCACTTCTTACCTCACCTACAGCCTTCACGTTCACCGTCTATCGCTACCTGTTTTGCAAGAAAAATGGCTTTAATTGAGGTGAGTCTGCCTGGATGATATTGACAAGCTTGGGGCTTGCTGATCCCTGATTCCAGGTGATTGCAAATGATCGTCTGGGTCGGAAAGGTTCGTGAAAGGACCGATAGTTATGCCGTCTTGTCTGAGCTGATCTATCCGATATCAGTACGTGTCAAATGTAGCCCGGATGATACGGTCGGGGACCTGAAGAAACTGATTGCTGCTCAAACGGGTACGGACTGGACCAAGATCCAGCTGAAGAAATGGTGCGTACCTTTGTTCCTTGCTCCACTCAATCCATTGTCTCTTGCAATTGTTCTCAGTGTTCGTTCTGTATCTGAGAGCTCCCATTTTCTCCAGGTATACAATCTACAAAGATCACATAACGCTGGCGGACTACGAGATTCACGACGGGATGAGCTTGGAGATGTACTAGATCTCCGAGTCGTCGCGTCCTTGCTTTTAGGTTAAGATTTTGAGTTTGCTTTCGCTGTTTTCCCGTTGCTCAGTGATCGGACCGTTGTAAGCACGTCACCTCCCATTCCGAAGAAGTCCTCGTCAATGTAGTCCTAATGTATGTTCCTCCATGTATCATGATGAGCCTCCAGATATGAATCTCCGTGACATGCCGCACGTCCAACGGATTCAGTTGACGCCATCCTGCGCTCCGTGCTCACTCGAGGCTTTCTCCACCGCCCGGACCGGATCATGTGCAGAAAATATCCGCTATATTAAAATTGATACATCCCCCGGGGTAGGTACACGGGGATAAAGCGTTTGACTTGCAGCACGTACGCAGCGTGCTGCACTAAGTATACGAGCACCATCTGGTTAGTGGCGTATACGTCTCTCTTCTCCGGGTGCTCTTGCGTGGCTCATGTCTTCACGGAAAGGCTTATTACCTGGTCCAAGAACCTCGACATTGAAGCTCGTGTTACCCTGATGTTTTGCATGTCCCACGATCCCTCCCTCTTTCATTCGCCCCATGGCGTAACCCCGGTTCTCCCCTGCTTTCCCCAGCACAGCAGACTTAATATCAAGACCATCACATGCCCAGCATCTCCAGCTCTGACAGTTACCAATCCTCGGCTATGCGCATGACGCATTCCTACGGACGCATGTTCAACGGCAGAATACCGAGTCCATGACCTCCTCGGTGGTTGCATGTTGTTTCCGCTCACTGGGAATGAGAGCTTTGCGCTGTCGATCCCCCGATATGCACCGGCTCTAAAACTTTCTTCTCCGGGAACATCATGCTCAACATGAATGAGCTTTTAAAGCTCTTTTGTCCCCTCGGGACGCCCATTGTCGCCTTTCTGCATGATCACATAAAGACACCGCGTTGCTCTTGATTGCAGCATCGCACATCCGGACGAAGCTCGAGCTCGGCGAAACACCTCCCTCCACCGCGTACGCCCATGATGGCGCTCTCGTGCCCCGTAAGTACTGTTCTCCTCCACAAATGCTTCGGCCGCTCTAACTTCGTTTGTCGTATCCAGCAGCAGAGCGCCATTCCAATCAGCCGTTCGGAGAGCTTCGGCCTCTGCGACCGCATGCCACCGCCAATCGACATGAGCTGGCGCGCCCCTGACCCGGACATACCACTCGCGGTATGTCTCCGCATCTCCCAGGTCCACTCCCTCTCCCCGCGCGCTAGGCATTGGGCCATTTTCTGGGACGTCCCCTACCAAGACCGGAACATCCGCGCGAACCGCATCCTCCACGTCGTCGCCGACCGCGGGAAGAAGCTATACGTCAACTGGGGGCCGCTGACCAAATTCGTGAGCGACGACGACCGGAGGAGCTCGAGAGAGCTTGTCCTCGGCGTCGTGGACCTGACGCGGCGGCGGCAGTTGGAGGTCGTCGCGACGCATACTCCGGTTTGTTCCGGCGACCAGGAGTGGAACGGACAAGACTGGGTCAAGGCTGTCTTGCGAGAGGCGGTTCTCCTTGGCCTGCTCTCGAAGGATAGCGTTGCGAGCGTCCTTGTCGCTGCCCAAGCTTTCTGAACATATCCGATACCCTATGAGATTTACGGTCTGCCACTCGTTTTCGCGCTGTTCCAGAGATGCTGATCCTGTCTTCATGCGCAGGACTTGTTATTGAACATTCCTTGCCTCCTCATTTATTGTTATTTTCTTTATTACTTCGCATCCTGTTAGCCCTGGTTTGTATCCCTTTCCTTGCGCTGTGTTTTCGACGGGTTGAAAAGGGAGTTTCCCATTAATTGCTTTTCTGCAGCTGGTTGTCGCCTACGTGGAATATAATCGCACAATTCGGAGAACGAGCGTCGTAGTCACCTACTGAAGGCTGGAGATCTTCCCAAACCCTAAACAGTGTAAAAAATTCGTATAATCCATTTTCGTATGCTTTGTCTCCCCAGTTGTTCTCATGAAGAAAGGTTCTGAGAGGCTAAATGAGGCATTCAACAGTAGGTCTGCGTTTTGCGCACGATGCATATAGTCATCCGGACTTCACTGAACAATCCGGTGGCACTAAGAAAATATCGATCGGGTGATACGGGTCACCCTTCTGCAACTGCTTTCTGACTTCGGCTGGTGGAAGTCGTGTCTCACCCATCTCTCGCTGCTAAGAACGTTTCGGTGATGGCGGAGTCTTTCAGGTATTTGATTGAGTCTGCATTGCGAGCGCGATAACGCTGCTATAAGCCGCATTTTACAAAATACGGAAATCCTGAACTTAGAAAACAGGTACGTCAGGTGTTACACTGGTGTATCAGGGATCGTCATTCAGATACCTACACACTTATGGCTGCATGTAGAGCTTGTGTATCCTCGTCATCTCTTGCAAACCCACCTCTCGACAAAGTTCGCAGTTTCATCATTCCCACGGATTGCGCCATACAAAGGCTACAGTCGCAACGCGAAGTGGTAATAAGCAAGGTCTCAAGCTCAACGGACGCGTGCATGCCATCGCCGCCAACATCGGACTCGGCCTCGAAATGACTGCCGTATGTCTTCCCTTAATTCAATTCCGGTATGCAGCAGATAACCAGATGACTGAATGAGCAATGCCGCGACGCCGCCGGGATTGCTGGAAAATAGGCGCCCGGGTGTGATGTGATAGTCATACCGAGGGATGTCACGTCACAGTAGGTTCGTTTTGCCACCGAACAAAAGCGAGGCAAGTACTGATTTTACAGGGCAAATATTACTCGTATTGTGCAGGTGAGACATTTCAGACCTCGATATATTTCTCTATTGTATTGATTTCTCAGCTTGAAAGAAAAGGCATACTAGACTTGAAAATGTCACTCAGCCCGATGAGGCGGTTCAGACCCCTTTGCGTGGAGGGTTCTGGTCAGAAGCAGGCTTCCGGCTCACTGACCGTTGATTCCCCGCAAAGAAACTGCGCGCTGCCAAGCTGAGTGGCAAGATGCTGTTGGCATGGTGCTGTGCTGCGTGCCGGTTGCGGCACGGGAGAGCCAAAGGCTGCCCTTGCTAGCCGCGTTCTAAAAGCGGTGGCTACTGCATCACTCAATTATATCTCGGTCTCCCTCTTTGATTGCTGGAACCAAGCTGTGGTTTTGAGACATCAAGCAGTCTTTGTCTTCTGCGGTCAACAGAAGCTCCTCCCTGGCCTGCTGACGGAACGACGCGCAACTCGGATCCAAGGCGGTCTAAGCTAGACGTTCCTGACGACCATCTTGCTCTTTGATCTATCCAAGCGCAAGACTTAACTCAATGCACTCGACCAGCTAACTTCCAGTTCTTTCGGGCTAGGTTTCCGCCTGCTCGAGCAACGTACCACGGCATGGCAGCTGCCATTTCATCGCCCTGGCGCTTGAGGTACCGCGGTAAGGAGTGCTAGCACAACTCCTACGCTTGACGTATTCTCTTTGACATGGTACGTCAAGTGCGCCGTGGTCGTGGCTAACGACCAGCGTATATAAGACGCGCTCAGATGTGCCGGAGGTCCAGCACCTCATCACCTCTGCTGACTTCTGCCCATCACCTCCTGATACTACCGACCCTTACCCGCCTCGTCTCCGGAATTACTCTTTCTGTAGCCAAGCACAAATAGGTAAGTGCGGACATGTCCTTGCCATGAATGTCTCTCAACAACATGACCTCTAGCGACATACAACTCTCTCCCTTCCCCACTATGGTATCTCTGGATGTTGATGAACGCCATCTGCCCATGCTCACTGAGGGCCACGAGCTTGCTTATAAGCAGAGCCACTTAGACAGGCTATCTTTCACTGTGACCCCGCTCGTGATAAGGTACTTGCCTCTCGTCGCGGGCTTCATCATGAATTTAGGGCGTATCAAGGACCTCACGATAAGATTCCATACGGACCGCGCTCCCTTCACGGACTTCTCTGACACATCCACTCTCAAGAATCAGCTAGATGCGCTGGCTACGTCTCTGAACTTTGGCAAAAAGAAAATACAATCCCTGGAGATTCGAGTTTCGGGTCCTGTCGCCCCCTCAATCTGGGAGAGTTTTTTCAGAAAACTCAAGATACCTCAGCTCAAAGAATTCAAGGCGTCGATCCCTGGCCTGGAATACAAAACCCTGTGTCACGTCCTAGTCATGCATCCCGAGATCAGAGTTATAAGACTCTCTTACGACCCCAGAGTCCTACGGCCTGGACTGCTTTGTCCCACGATTCGCGCGAACGTGTATTTCCCGATCCAGGAGCTGTGGTGCCCGCCTCAGACAGTCTCAACCTTACTGTCGGAGAATCAAAACTGGGACGAGCTATCTGCGATTACACTTGCGCCTGATTATGGGAGTGTTCTACCGGCACAGCATCAATGGGCTCAGTGGCTTGAGGACTGGAATATCTGCTTGCGTGTCATAGGCGGTCGCTCTCTGACACGCCTCAGATTGGTACTGGGAATCCCGGCTTGCCCGTTTCCTTCCAGCGCACCGGCCGTCTCTATCGGAAGCCTGCACGGGGTTGAACA